GTATTCAGAGCTGTGTACATAAACCGAAATAAGCACAAATGACATGTATAGGATTAATGAGCTGATTGTCATAATGAATGCATTTTATAATTCAAATGATGTTGTAGATGTACAATCTCTCCTATTTATTTTGTACCAATTTATTTGTAAATTTTGTGATTGTTTTACAAGGTTTTTGTTATTTCTATTCTATTTAGATAAAAGATGTTCTGTTCACCCTTCTAGCAGACGTGTGTTCCCTCTTCCCTTTCATCTATGCAACACCAACCATGCCACTGTGTTCAGCCTGGCTGAACCAACTGCCCTGCCCACTTGCCTGGCTTTGCTGGTGGAAAAGCTGGGACTGGACCTCAGCATGGCAACATAGAAGAGCATATTCTTTGGACAGTGTGAAGTCTTAAAAGAAGTGAGTACTAGTTCTGTGCCTCTAAGTCACAGCCTGGTACAGCCAATCCTAGGGGGAAGGTGGTGTCCTTTGCAAGGACTGTCATCTGTCCTCCGTCAGTTACTCTCGCTACGTAAGAACATTCAGAGTATCCAGTCGAATTGCCCCATATATTGGCTGCCCAGTCACTAATAACACACAGTGCAGCTGGGCTAAGCCAGCGGTGTTTCCTAGGTTAAGACCAAAGGCCTCATTCAGGCCTCTCAATTGGCTCTTGAAGATGAGGATGGCTTTATATTTCCTCCTCTGCTATGCTAAGCCTGGGAGGAAGGTCGGAGCATGCACAGATAGGTTACTCTCAAGTTAAAAACATCTGGCCTGAGTGTGGCAAGGCAGGTACAGGTGCTCTCTGGGGTTCAGTGGACATCCTGCATTCTCCAGTAATGGGTGTGGATGATACACGTTCTCTTCCATCAGCACTTTGTCTTCTGTTCCTTCTTACTCTCCTCACTCATTATGTGACCAGTCCCTGAAGAACTTAGGGTGGAGCTTCAGGGACCCTCTGTGATCCATTCCTAAGCCACATCTTTTTGGAAACTCTTTTCTCTCCACTCTTAGTCTCCATTGTACATTCCAAAAAGAATCGTGCTCTAAGAATTTAGCCTCTTGACTGGTCCATTTATAGTCACTACTGAATTTATTTAACCATAGCATTTGCAGTCTGTTTTACTTACACTTGTCCTGTGGATGGAGACATTTCAGGGAAGAGCTGCTGACAGAATTGGCTTTGAGACACTGCCTGACCTGACTACCACTCCCACCTCCCCAGTCATCACCCAACTTCCTGAAAGTAGAATGAGGTGTCTCTCTAGTCCAGTGAAATGCCATCTTGGGAGCCTGCTTTCCCTAGAAGTGGGGCAGAAGTGGCAGCAGAGCTGGGGAAAGAAATCACTGTGGCACGTTCTCTCCCAGCCTGCTGCCTTGGCGTTTTTTTCCTATTTTACTCACTTTGTCTTGATGAGCCCTTAGCTCACATCAGGAAATGCTCCAAGGAAAATGGAGGCGATTTTTCCTGCTGTCAAGATGAGATTTGCCTAAACTTCCCCACCCCCTGCATCCTAGGAGTGCAGACACATCTGCTCATTTCTAAGCTTTATCCTGATGCACTCCGGGGTTTCTATTTCACAAAAATTGTGCTCCCTAGAGACATTTTTCGACTCGGCACTTCTGAGGAAACAAATACTGATCAGAGGGTCTTGTAGACAAAGTGGTAAAAACTGACTTTTTTATAGCCTGGAGTTGATTTCTGGAAACTTACACTTTTTGAAGGTAATTTAATAAAGACATGATTCCTTATTACAGCCAAAAAGTTAAATTCTACTAGATGGCGAATAAACTTTTGCTTTCTTTGCATGATAGTTGCATCACTTTCCCTCCAAGAGCCTCACATCTATGCTCTTATTTGCAAGCAGTGCCAGGACAAAGGGATGATGGTTCTAGGGCTCTTTCCTCTGACTTTCTGCTGGCAGCCTTCTCCCCTAGTAGAAGACTGTGAGGACCGAGGATGCACGTTTCTAGGAGGGGAATTAGTTGCCAGGATTCTCTGCCAAGTGCTTTTCCTGTCAGGGTATTAGTGACTGCAGCTTTCAAACAGTAGGCCAAGACATGACAGGAATTTTTAGATTGGGCCAGCTTTCCTACCGCAATTCTCCTAAGTCACTGACTTGAGGTCAGTGGGTTCAAAAAATTCTTTTGTTTCAAAATACACCCTCAAATCAAAGATTACCTCTGGTGAGAACACTCTCTTAAAGACTGGACACTGAATAAACATTTTTCAGTGTGGGGAAGGTTTGCTTGGCAAATCTTTCCAAGTATCTCAAGAACTTGTGAGACGTGGAAGGACTATTGCTGTCTTTCCTGGGAAAAATGTGTGCTCAGCTGCTTGGGCTCCAGTTTGTGTGGGAAGGTTTATCTCAGTCCAGACTCTTCAGGCCTGGTTTATACCCCTGGCCAGACATGGCTTTGGGAAGAGCTCCATGGGAGACCAGAGCATTTAGGGACATATTTATACCTAGTTATTTGGTGTGAAGAAATAAAGGGAGCAGATTCAAAATTCATCATTTTGTTTTAAATTGGAAAACGGATTCCTCAGTCTTACGGTAAACAGAGTCGGCAAGTTTGAGATGTAATGTTCTGTGTTCAGTGGGGACTACTGTTTTGTGTTAAAGCTCTACAGAGAAACTTAACTACTGTATATATTTTATTTTTGAGATCACCTACCTTGATTGGAATCAGTCAGACTGTGTGGCCTTGAAATGAAGACACTGTGTCTGAGGACAGGGAAAAATGGTTAAGAAATCCAGGTTAAAGAAAAGTAAAGCTTTTTCCTCATTTGATAAATGAATGTCCCGCTGCCTGTTTAAAGGACTTGCTTTCTGCTGTGTCTAGATACCTAGCAGTGCGAGAACGGTGTGGCGTGCTGCGTTTCTGTCGGGAGGTGTGTGCCGGGCGGTGTGGGTTTCTACTTTCTGGCTGCCTGTGCCTGTGGTCATCCCTGCTTCTTAGCAGTAGTGCATGTTTTTCTTCCATCATCCTCAAGGTTGCTCTGCTACAGATTTCATTCTCAGGGCCTCCCAAAAGTTGTGTATCATTTGAAATTGTTCTATTTGAGGAAAACCTTTAAGAAAAGCTGGATTCCCTGGCCACCAATAAAGATCATCATGAGAAACAAAAGTATTTGAGCCCTAAACTACTAAGCCAAGTGAGGAATTGGAGTGTTAACTGTATGGCAATAGCTAGATCATAGTTACCATTTTTCCCACCATCAAAGAGATTAAATAGTTTCCATAACATGGAATTTGGATAAGGTTCCTACCCTAATACAGACTTAAATATGCAGTTGTTTGTCTCAGGCTATTTGTGGTGAGTAAGCAGAGTATTTATTTAAGAATGACCAGGCAGCCCTGGAAAAATTGCTGGGCTTTAAAGTTGTTGTCAAAGTATTTCTTAAATAAATAGGTCTGATTTAGAAATATCTAAACATGGACAACACAATTTTTAAATCTGACATGCAATTGCATGTGGCTTTTATAAGTGGTTCCTTAAAAACAATGCTAATATGACTTAAGGATTTGTAGTTCTATTAAAAACCACTTCTAAAAGTATCTTAGGGTAGCTTGAAAAGTTTGCCTTATTATTTTAGGTCTCAGCAGAGCTATGCTTATGGCAAGAGAAAATATCTTAGGTCTAAATTGAACACTGAACTTTCTTGGCTGTGACCAACTTTTCTCAAGTACACCATGAGCTTTCACTGACCATTTTTGCAGAGATGATGTACTGAGCAATTCCTCTCCCCAAGGAAACCCAGCAGGGCCTGGGTCTGCTGTACCTCTGACCAGCTGCTGGGGAGGCTAGGCTCCCTGTTAGTCAGTACATACTGTAAGGTTGGGAGCTCCATCTAGCACCCAAGAAGGGGCTGCCTGGTGTTCTACAATGCCTGTAAATAGTGTTTTCAAAATGCCTAGGAAAAAATTCTGTAAAGAGATGGCAGACTGGTCATCTCATGATGTAAAACTCCTCAGAATTTTTTTTCAAAGGAAAAGTATACCTTTTAAGTTCAACTTCCTTAACTAGTGGCCACAGAGAAAAGTTCCTAATTTATGTTTTTAAAAGCCCAATTATGGTTGCCCTTCCTACCCATGGACCATGGACTTCCCAGTACACTCTTAAAAAGAATAATATACAGAGAGGCACCATTTTGCTGTGGATTTTGTGGACTCCTAGAGCTCTTTAATAGTACATTTCGGTGGTCCTTGGGAGGGTTGTGACTAGCAGTGGAGTTCTTATTCCAGCTGGTTGTGTGCTTTTCACTTTCCTGTCTTTGGACCCAGATAATCATTTGCCATGGAATCATCTGGCTAGTAAGAGACACTTACATGGATGTAATACAAAAGGGGGTAAATCAAAGCCCTTTATGTGGCCCTAAAAGGGACAATATGTAAATGTACTTACTATGATAAGGTAGCTCTGTAGATGTAATACATAAAGTATTTGGGTTTAAGAAAACTTAGGACTATTTTAAACTAGGACATCTCCATCTTGAATTATAATAATTAATAATTGGGATGACCACACAGTCTCCTAACATGGGCAACAGTCTAATTGCTATTGCAATTGCATTTCTGACCTGATTCTTTTAAAGGGGCATATATTCCCAATAGATACCATTTTGAATGTATGTTTCTTGGATGACTTAATCCTAAAGCCATATATATCCAAAGTAGTGAAGCAGTATATCCTTGACTAAGTAATCGGGCTATGTTCCCTGCTTATAAAATGAAATTTTTTTTAAAAGCCTCACTTCACAGTCCTGTTCCAAAAAACTTAATGGGGAAAAAACTGTGAGGCCTATGAAATACCATGAATATAACCATGTTAGAATATATCAGTTCTTGAATATTTCTTTTTAACCAAAAGAGATCCGGGAACGTTTTCACATTCCTTGAAAATACGTATTTCCTTTAAGAGAATGTCAAACTGATGTTACTACACCAAATCTAAACCCACTTGAAGACCAATAGCTGTTACAGCTGTTGTGTTACAGAATAGGTCTAAGTCAGCATTAGAAATATTACACTTTATTGAATTCTGGAGCGGCTAATCTATCCTCCCCTGTTGACCAATGACAAGAATGGAAGAAAATATATGATGGCTAAACTAAGAGTCTCTATCCACTGTTTGTTTAAGATGTTGGAACAACTTTCACTGTACTGGTGAAACAGTTTTAGTACCCTAACATATACAGTAATGATTCATTCTTGTTTAAAACAAGAAGTGATTTCAACTTGGGATTTTTTTTTTTTTTTTTTTTTGAGGGGATTCACTCTTGTTGCCCACGCTGGAGTGCGATGGCATGATCTTGGCTCACCGAAAACTCCATTTCCCGGGTTCAAGCAATTCTCCTGCCTCAGCCTCCCAAGTAGCTGGGATTACAGGCATGAGCCACCACGGCCAGCTAATTTTGTATTTTTAGTAGAGACGGGATTTCTCCATGTTGGTCAGGCTGGTGTCGAACTCCCGACCTCAGGTGATCCGCCAACTCAGCCTCCCAAAGTGTTGGGATTATAGGCATGAGACACCAAGCCTGGCCTCGACTTGGGATTCTCAGTGAATTTATTCACACTGATTGTGCTCTCTGCTTTAGTAAGGTTCTGGCTTACAGAGCCCTCTTCCCATCCTCTAATGATCAACTTTAATATACAGCAGTCAACTCTAGAGGATAAAGAAATCTGGAATTGGGTAGCATGAGCCACAGCTATATAGCTCACACTGATCAATGTTCTACTGTAGTGTAAGAAGGAAGTTCCTCCCTTTCTTCTCTGGGGACTTGTTCCTTTGTCCTCTTACAGCTAAATTCTTTCTATAGATTTATCACAGATAAGGAAAAGGTGGTTTTTGGATAACAAATAATAAGCATTTGTGCTAATAGCAAAAAAAGTATTAAGAATACTGTCTTTTCCCTCAAAATAGAATCCTGCCCTAAAGCAAGTAGAGAATACATCTGTGTAAAGCCACTGATAGAGAGGCAGCCTTGCCAGAGTCACTGAGGATTTAAAGGCTTATAAAAGGAAACTTGACCTTAACAGAGACTACAGCTGATCATGGAAATAATATATTTCTCCACTGATATACAATACACCATGTAATGCACTGAAAAAGTTGGATCTTGGAGTTACAGCACAATTTGTAACATTACAGCATTTCAGATCACCTCTTCCCACTCTTTGTTTTACTCTTGAGACCCTTCACCACCCCTTGTGTATCCAGATACACTATGACATACTGATGATTTTTAAAAAGTGTCACAAGCCACAACGGAGCCAGCATGCAGTTCAGCCTGGTTTTACCCTTATTTTCTTCTAATACAGACTCCATTGCAATTTTGGACCATCTGCAGAGAGTACAGATACACAAAACCAAAACAAGTATCTCTCTATGATAACAATAGAATCTTCAGAAACTTTTCAGATGTACCTTTCATGTAGCCCCCCTCCCTCCCCCCCAGTAGAACCCTCACAGGGATATCTGTTCCTGTGCGTCCTGCCAGGACTTGGTTAATGGGTGCTCGGCGTTTTGGTTTTCCTCCTTATTCTTCCTCTTCCTCATCATCATCTTCATCATGGCAGTGTGTAATTTCCTGGGGAGCCAGTGGGAAGAGGTTGGGAGGTTTAATCTCGCTAATTGACCGTGTCAACTGGTGCCGCTTGTAGTCAGTGTCTTTGAAATCCACTGATGTGCGGTTCCGGGTGGCAAGAGGAGACTCCATCTCATTGATATCTACATGTGTGTGCTCCACCGTTGATTCATGAGGCATCTAGACAGAACAAAGCCAGAGGCTCAGAAAGCAGGCAGAGCAAAGTAGCTTCTTCCCAAATCCTAAGCCCTCTCCTCTGTTAGGTGGCCATGCAGTTATATCAATAACAGACCACAGGACAAGTCAATTTAGACTTATCTTCACAGAACTACTTTTAGCTGCCTGTCTTCCTCTCTCCCTGCCCCTCAAAATGGTGCCCATGTTGTCTACTGCAGCCTGAAACTGGAAAAGAGAGTTTATTTTCTATTTCACAGCAAAAACAAAGTAGTCCCGAAACACATCAGAATATAGGAATATAAAAACCACATTTTCTTTAAGACAGGGTCTCACTCTGTCACCCATGCTGGAGTGCAGTGGAGCAAATGACAGCTCACTGCAGCCCTGACTTCCTGGGCTCAATCAATCCTCCCACGTTAGCCTCCAAAGTGCTGGGGTTACAAGCATGAGCCACCATGCCTGGCCCACATAAAACTTTTTAAAAGAGTAGACTTCAGAGAGTAAAATTGTACCCTGTGACTTCCAAGTTTGGTTCTACTTTCTCAAAGACCCCTTCTTAGGCAGCCATACAACCTGCCCATGGGCTCTGTATATCAGAAAGAAATGTTCAAAACTATCTCCTGTGCTATCTCACAAAGCTGGTTCCTGATCCTGGGCTTAGAGTACATCTTGGCTATCAATTATAACTTTAACTCACCAAGACATGGGCAGCCCTGAAGAGGTAGCTGAATGGGTAATACAGCAGGTTGATGAAAGATGCTGCATAGAGGTCGGCGTAACGCATCACTTGACTGGCAAAAAGGGTCTGCCGAGAGCCACTGCGAAACAGGCTTCCCATCATCCCATAGCACATGTCCATGTCATGAGTTACTTTCTAAAACAAAGAACAAGATTGATTCTCAGCTCACTCAACAAATATTTATTAAGCAGTAGTAGAGTGTCAGTCTCTATAAAAATCAGAAATGTGAAAAAATCCTTTTTAAACTTTATTTCCCAAGTTTCCTCCCAAATCTCATTTAGATACCTTAATACGTCTCTGGATGGAACTAATGTCTGGACGCTCATTGCTACTGCTGTCAAGGTGCCTGAAGATAAAAGAAAAACTCAGTGAACATCTCTGAGAAGAGTTGTTTTTTTTTTTTTTTTTTTTAAAGTAATACTGTTATTCAGAGTGACAGTGGAGCAATCTAAGCTCACTGCAACCTCAGCCACCCGAGTTAGCTGGGATTACAGGCATGCACCACCACATTCAGCTAATTTTTGTATTTCTGCTAGACATAGGGTTTTGCCATGTTGGCTAGGCTGGTCTCAAATTCCTGGCCTGAAGTGATCTGCCTGTGTTGGCCTTCCAAAGTGCTGGGATTACAAGCATGAGCCACCGTGCCAAGCCTGGAAAGAACTTTTTTTTTGAGATGGAGTTTTGCTCCCGTTGCCAAGGCTGGAGGGCAATGGCTCAATCTCAGCTCACTGCAACCTCCGTCTCGCAGGTTCAAGCAATTCTCCTGCCTCAGCCTCCCAGCATGGCCAGCCTGGAAAGAACATTTCTTATATCTAAGTGATTCCTGAAGAAGTTTTTAGGAAAGACATTTTTAGAACTTACTTGTAGAGTTCAGCCAAAAAAATATCCAAGCTCTGAAGCTCTTCAAAAAGTGCTAGTTAAGATTTGGAAGGAAAAGGAAGATATTTTAAATAAATAAGCACCCAGTTCTTAACCGCTGCTAAAACTAAAAGGTTACAGATGTCATTGAAAAGTATAACCTGGGACTGACATGCTATAGGTGAGTATATAGTGACCTACTCCTTCCCTTCATCAGGATAACTCATTGGTACGGGCTTGGAGTCTGACAATAGATGAACACCATCATTTTCTCTTTAATTGCCTTTCCTCCTGCTTAAACACCATGACTACAACTTATCCCTTCCAGCCCAGAATTTATATTGTCTCAGGTATAGTCAGCTAAGCAAGTGTTAATAGTCCCATTTTTAGATGAAAGACTGAGAATTAGGTGACTTGTCCTGAGTCACAGGTCGAGGGTCAAATCAACCAGATTTCTAAAACTTCAGAGGCGGTAAATTGAAAATGTGAATCCCACTGATAGTACAGACAATAATAACAGCAACAGTCAGCATCTACAGCATGCTTCCTTGTGCTGCAGCCTATCTCAACCTGGGTTCCTCAGAATTAAGCCCTGCTCCATCTATTGTATTTAACATATTTTCTTCTATCTACCATCTTTAGGAGAACTGAGAAAAGTGTTACTAAATTTTCTGTATTCAGCTCCGTTAGGTAAAATAACGATAATTTTCTGTGTTTCAGATGAGGAGCCTTGGTTGAGAGAGGCTGTCATGTCTATCTTCTTTATATACATATTACCTAAGTTTTTCATCAGCTTTAGGAGATAGGTATTATCCCCATTTTTACATTTGAGGAAACTAAGGCACAGGGTGTCTCAATAACTTGCCTAAGGGCATGCAGATTTCAAGTTAAGGAGCCAGGGCTCCTACCCCAGGCAGGTTGAATTTCCGGAGTCACCTTCACCACACTGCAGGTAATGTGCACCAAGGCTGGCTGCAGAACTTTTATATCAAACAGTGCTTTAAGACTATATCTGTAATTCAATTCAGCATAGTATATATACTGCATATACACAGTGTAGCTTAGTTCAGGAATACAATATGGCCTCATTCTCTTTATCTCGGAACAGTAAATAAAAAAATACCAGAGGTGATTAACATTCAGAGCCATCACTGCCCCAGAATCACAGATATGGGCTGTGAGCAGGGAGACTGGTACTACTAGGCATGGTTGGGGAAATACGGGTCCATGGAGGAAAAGTTGAGTTCCAGTTCACAACTTAGTGTTACTGTAACACAACTCAAGACACCAACATTCTATACTTGACTTCAAAGAGATTCAAGAAGGTTAAACAAGATAACCTCTCATGTTTATTCAGATTCTGGAGTTCTGTAAAATATCTGAATATTCTATGGGAAGGAGATATCCAAATATCAAGGCCCACCTTTTGACCACCTCTGAATTTCTGAATACAAAGGAATGGTTTCTCAAAGAGGACTGATTGACAGCTGGACATTTTGACATACACCGCATCAGAGGTTTATGAAATGGCTTACAACTCTTGTCGGTCCAGACATGCAGCTCCTGCGCAAGTTCAGGAATCACCAAAAAAGTTCGCCACCCTTGTCGTTTCTTGGATTTTAAGATGTCTCCAAAAATGTGATCTCCAATATACAAAATGTCTTTTCCCTTGGCTCCCAACAGATCACAAATTGTATCAGAAGAACCTGAAACAACAGAGTGAACAATGAGAAAACTGTCTCTATATTAAAATCAGCATTCCAAGTATTATAACCCTTAAATTCTATGATTCATTTTATTCTTATAGTTATGTCAGGAACAGATGAAAAAAATAAAGACTTACCATTCTCTTTTTACTGCCTTCAAAGACAAGGCCTTCAGCTCCACTGTGTTGACCAGAGCTCTTGATCAGCAAATCCAAGAGCAACAAAACTATATCCTCATATTATTGAAAATAATCTTCAAAAGAGCCACTGCCAGTTTCATCACAAATCTGCCATTAAGCTGGCTTTATTCAACTGTTTGTAACTACAACATACTATATACCTATGCCCACGGAGCTCCTTGAAAAACCCTTGAGAACATACTGAGAAGTACCCCCAAGTGATTCCAGGTATTGAAAAAAAGCCTCCAATAAGATTAAAATAAAAATTTTTAGTGAAAATCAGATTCATTAGGCTATACTAACAACTGCTTAAACCTAGACCCCTATTGCATTAAGAAGTGACTAAACAATTAACTTCAGTAGATGACATCTTAGAATACTAAAGGGTACACGTGGCACTTTGCTGAGAGATCACCAAAGCTTTCACAGTGAGGGGTCTGAGCAAAAACTTACATTAAATAAAGGAAAGTCTGTGACTAACCTCCTGAGTAGACGATACCATGCTGTAGGGGGCCTGTGTAGGTACCAATTTTCAGCTTGCCAGTTTTCTGTGTGAAGAATATGGACTTTGTAATACTTTATCATTCTATCACAATCCTCCCCCTCACCCCCAATCCCCCCATTCTACCCCCACCGCCAGTGCTACTTGGCCAGACAGCCAAGTGAATGGCACTTACTCTTTTCAATTAGTGGGTTGGTTTGGCTGCTTCAGTTAAGACCAAAATTCTTTTTTTTTTAGGCGGAGTTTCGCTCTTGTTACCCAGGCTGGAGTGCAATGGCGCAATCTTGGCTCACCGCAACCTCCGCCTCCTGGGTTCAGACAATTCTCCTGCCTCAGCCTCCTGAGTAGCTGGGATTACAGGCACGCACCACCATGCCCAGCTAATTTTTGTATTTTTAGTGGAGACGGGGTTTCACCATGTTGACCAGGATGGTCTCGATCTGTCGACCTCGTGATCCACCCGCCTAGGCCTCCCAAAGTGCTGGGATTACAGGCTTGAGCCACCGCGCCCGGCCAAGACCAAAATTCTTAATTTCAAAGGAGAAACATTGCTAACAGAAAAAAAAATTCCTATTTCCTTATAGAGAGTAAGAGTGGGGAAAGGAGAAACACTAAGGACAGTGTGCTAGCAGACATATCATCCTCCTGACTTACAGTATCCACTTGACGCAGTACTGTGCCTTCTCCAAAAAAGAGTGGTTTCCGTGCATCCACCAAGATCAGGTCAAAGTAGGATTGCCATGGTCGATGGGAGCTACCAGGCTGGTGAAGGAGAAACAGCAAAAGCTGAAACATCACTCCTTACCTTAAGGCTTACTATTTAATCGCACTCAGATGCAAGGAATATAAAAATACTAAGTATAGACAGAAGATCCCACTATTTTATTTTTTTAAAAGGTATTTTGTCTATTTATAAGCCATATCCTTTGGGAAGCACACAAGGTATAAATACTAAATGACTGTAATAATATTCTACACATTTTAAATCATTTCATATACTACTGAATTACAATAACTTACTTTATAGCACTTTAATATATGAAAGTGTACTCACTCTGACATCTGCTAAAAGGAGCTTAAAAGACATAGGGAGAGATGCAAATCAATACCCAAGGGACAGGTTAAGAGAGAGGCAGATCTGCATCAGAGCTAATGCATACAAACTAACATGAAACTATAATTAGGAAATTTTACTGGTTATGTTGTCAGAATGATAGCTCTAGGTACACACTGGCTTTTGGCTCACAGTGTAAGCTAATCACAATACTAATGAGCGAATTATGCCCACTGAAATCATGACTATCCTGAAATGGAACCCTGGCATTAACCTTTTAAGACCAACACAAACGGCACTGCACACTGTGATTTCAGGTATTCTCAAAACAGGGATTTGCTGGTGTTTATTCACAAAAATCTAGGACTAAAATTCCAAGTTGCAAGGAGTATTCCTTAAACCTAAGTGCAGTCGCACTGCATGAATGAAGACTTGTCTGCTAAATATCAAGGTTATGTACTTTCTTGGCAAAAACTTAGCAACAACTAATGTAAAATGTAGAAGTTGTCAAGAATATACACACATTTTCTTTTTCTGTTAATCCAGTATCTTTCACAACCTGAAAATTCCTTTCATTGCCACACAAACTTAGCAATTCTGCATAGAACTTCTTGGGCTTAAAATTGTTCTGATCCCATCCTACTAAATAGCACATGAATATCCCTTTATTTCTGTCTACTAAGTATTCAAGTTGCACTCTATTTTCTTTTTTTTTTTTTTTTTTTTTCATTTTTTTTTTCAAGTTGCACTCTAAATTAGCAATTTGATTTTAAATTCTACTAGCTCCTAGATTACTTCTAATGTTAATAAAGATTAGACAATAAGCTTAAAAAGAAGAACTCTTCTGGGTGAGTTCTGAAAAATTCTTTCCCCCTCAATATTCCAGAAAGATTAAATGCATTCATTAGTATCAAAGCAATGGTCTATTGAGTCACATATATTACCTTGGGGCCATGTGGGAAATCAAACAGGTAAGTCATAATTTTCTGGGGAAAAAAAAAAATTAGCCTAAGGTCCATATACTACTTTTGTAAAAGGCATATAACCTAAAGAAATTTATAAGCTTTTCATAAAACATCTATTTTTCAACATAGGATTCATCACATTCTTTTTTTTTTTTTTGAGATGGAGTTTCGCTCTTGTTACCCAGGCTGGAGTGCAATGGCACGATCTCGGCTCACTGCAACCTCCGCCTCCTGGGTTCAAGCAGTTCTCCTGCCTCAGCCTCCTGAGTAGCTGGGATTACAGGCACGTGCCACCATGCCCAGCTAATTTTTTGTATCTTTAGTAGAGACAGGGTTTCACCATGTTGACCAGGATGGTCTCGATCTCTTGACCTCGTGATCCACCCGCCTCAGCCTCCCAAAGTGCTGGGATTACAGGCTTGAGCCACCGCGCCCGGCTCACATTCTTGATTTCTCTAAACTTTATGAAATCATGGCAGCAGAAGCCAGGAAATTAATGCTTTACCATACCAAAAAGAAAAGCTTCTGACATTTTCAGGGAGGATACATACTTCCTCTGGAAGATGTTTTTGAACACACATTTGGAGGTAAGGAGCATATGAGGTAGGGGTATAGAGAAAACGAATGACTTACACAGAAATAACGTATTACCTTGGCTTCGCTACTATCATCCCTAGACCAACTAAGTCTACAAACCAATGGTTTATATAAAACTTTACTACAAATCACTAGGTATCTAAATCAAATTTATCTGTACAGCAAATTAAGGGAAATGGGACTTCTTGCTACTACTATAAACTTTTAAGTGTCGCAGCAAAAGAAAGATGAAACTAAGGAGTTAGATCAGTTTTTCCACATGCTTTAATCATGGGGATAAACTCTTATTAAGAGGTAGTAGATTTTGATGACTAAGAGCCAAAACATCTTTGCACCATCTATTGCTGCAGGTTTTCCGGTAGCAGGGAAGTCACAGGCACACATCAATAAAGGGTGTGACTGCTCAAGTTCATAGAAATGATGCTCCAAAGAGACAAAAGTCATTTTAATGTTTACAAATGTTTTAAATAACCCCAAGATTAAAATTTCAAGTAGCCAATTTATAATCAGTGAAAATAGTTAAATTTTTAGAAAATTTTGAGAACCACTCTTATTCTGTATATTTTTGCCTTTTTACTCTGCTTTGAAAATGAGATGGCAAGAAACTACTTTCACTGGATGAACTTCTATCCTCCTCATCGTCTTTGCAGTTCTTTAGGCCAAAATAATTCCTCTGCATAAATACACAAACATAAACATTAAGCACTTACATCTGTATATTTATAGTCACTGTTGGTAGCAAGAAATACTTTCCCTACTTCCTTCATCCGGCTCAGAAGCAAAGGCAATTTTCCCTAAAATGTGAGTGAAACACAAAAACAAACATTCTTACTTTTGAACTTTGGCTGTCATATACAGGATTTCTGTCCACCACAACAGGAATGGGGGAGGCTTTTAAGGGTTAGTTGTATTCAGAATTTTGCATTTAAAAGCCCACATTATCACTATAAATAAAGTATTAACATATGTAGTATATACGGTATATATAATAGATTTACTTGTAAAATGATATGCATATTTATAAGGGTTATATTGCTGTTAACATATCTCTACCTTCTTCATATGTCTGCCTCAGGAAAGAGTTGAAATTACCTTGAGATTTCTTCAAGTATGTGAGGTGTGTTAGAGTTAGGGAGAGGCTGATTTAAACATCATCAGCAAATGTTCTACATAGAGATTATTAGATATGGCTTCAGTATGTATACTATGGTTTTATAAAACACCTTGCAAAATGAAATGACATATGCAGATGCTACCTAGAAATACCCACACCCATGGCACTTAAATGAGGAAATTCTAATTCCTCATTTGCCTGGAAAGAAAAATATCTTTGTTCCTTCACTCAAATTCTCCTGGACCCTCCCCATTCAGTGTTCTTTCACAAAACAGTAAGGGAGGTAGGTGAAAATAGGAGGCACAAAAACTGAAAACAAGAAATCTTTACCACAGTACTTTGAGAAAATACTGTATTCTGCTACTTTTACTCTGTAGGAAAAGAAAGAAGTATGTCATCTTGGGGCACTATGTGTGTTTAATGTTTATTCTAAAACACTTTTAGACTTACAGAAAAGTTGTGAAAATAGTAGAGTTCCCATGTATTCTTCCAGTTTCCCTTAATATTAGTATCTTACTTAACCACAGTACAATTATCAAAAGTATGAAATTAACATTTGTACAATACTATTAACCACAGATTAAAAAAAAAAATTTATCTGGTTTCCTACTACTGCCTTTTAAGGTATTTTAAAGCTTTCCTCATTACTCTCTGTTGACAGGTTAAAGGATTTTAAATAACAGTAATATATATGCACGTTTTTGAGATGATCTAGTGCAGTAGTTAAGATTTAGGTGTGACTTAGCTTTACTACTTACTATGTGACCTTTGACACGTTATTTAATCCCTCTATTTCTCAGATTTTTTTCTCTATAAAACAGAGTTAACAATAAACCTAACTCAGGGTTATATAACAGATTAAATGGCATAATGCATGTAATCACTTAGCATGGTGATGTGCATACAGTAAACCTCTAGCTGCTGTTACTATAATTGAAGGTAAACAAACAAATGAAATACTGAGTCTTCCTGCCTACCAACAAACAGGAAAAACTCTACAAAGACCTGTGCTCTAGCTGAAAATTCTTGGTGATTATACCTTGGAGATTATACTATGCCAAGACAAAGAAATACCTTCCTTTGTCCATTTCTTTATAAATTAGCTTGTTAATTATTTCCCTAACAGGTAAAATGAGCTATTGTGCAGATCTATTTTCGCCTGTATTACTTACATCTTTGACCACATACTTCTCAAGATTTTCAACTGTCTTTTCCTTAAGGGAGCCCTAGGGGAAGAAAACAAAGGAATTAACAAAATCAGTTTTTAACATGTAATTTATACAAAAAATTGTGTTTACTAATCAAACCAAATCATTTTTTTTTTTTGACACAAGGATACCCTATTGCCCATGCTAGAGTGCAGTGGTGCGAGCACAGCTCACTGCAGCCTCAACCTCCCCAAGCTCAGGTCATCCTCCCACTGCAGCCTCCCAACTAGCTGGGACCACAGGTACACATCAACATGCCTGGCTAATTTTTTGAACTTTTTGTAGAGACAGGGCTTGAGCTCAAGCAGTCCACCTGCCTCAGCCTCACAAACTGCTGGGATTACAGGCATGAGCCACAGCCTCAAATGCATTTCTTAAGGATTTACCAAAATGGTAAAGTGGAAAAACTAGAAAAGGTCAGGAAAAAGTAGCAGGTATCATTTGTTGCAACCCTGCCTATAAAATTTGTCTTCAAAATATAAAACAGTTTCTATTTTAAATTTGAAATTAAAAGGCATTTCATATTTGATTCAATACAGTTTATAATAAATGTAAATTTAATATTATTAGGTGGGAGGTATCTGGACAAAAAAATGGACCACTGCCATCCGCAAAGGCTATGTGAAGTATAATGAAATACAGTAAAACCTCTTCTAAGTTTGAGAAATGCAAACTAAAATAAAATCCAAAAGCCAAACACCATCACTGGGGAAAGATCAACATTACCTCGGAGACCGAAGACAAGAACCAATGTATTCTAGAGAGCTATCACTAGGGGGCAAATCCATTTTTTCTTTTTTTAAACAAAGGAAATATTCTGCTCCTTTTGGAAAGTTAATGCCAGGCCATAAAATACATGCCAGAAAGCGAGCAGGTGAAGCAGCAGTTTCTTGGTACCTTGTAATGAACCCAGTCAACAGCATCTCTTACATCCTGGAACATACTCCGGTAGGACATGAAGAGGTCCCCATCTTTAAATCCTGTTTCACAACTACAGAAAGATAAAAAGAACATGACAGGGGATCCAAAACAGGGCAAATAAAATATATATCAAAAAACTCCCAGGGGACCCAAAGTTTCCATATCACATGGGTAAAGGCTGTGGCTAATTAGGAAATAATTACTCCCTAATCAAAGTCCATTCTCACCACCAGAAATAGCCATAGCATTCAATGGAATACAATTGTGAACAAATACAAAGTGATAGAAAAATATACTGAATGGAAGCTACAAAAATGTCAATTTTTTTTTAATCACTTTTTAGAAACAGGTTGAAGAAACATTTAAAACTTAAAATTGGTCATTTAGGTTCTTTCCACCCTGAGTTTTCTGACACCGTCCCTAAGTACAAAAGTACTGTCCATTTTTTATTTAGCTCAGCTTTCCACCAAATTTTTTTTTTTTTTTTTTTTTTTTTTTTTGAGACTGAGTTTTGCTCTTGTTACCCAGGCTGGAGTGCAATGGCACGATCTCGGCTCACCGCAACCTCCGCTTCCTGGGTTCAAGCAATTCTCCTGCCTCAGCCTCCCTAGTAGCTGGGACTACAGGCACGCGCCACCATGCCCAGCTAATTTTTGTATTTTTAGTAGAGACGGGGTTTCACCATGTTGACCAGGATGGTCTCGATCTCTTGACCTCGTGATCCACCCGCCTCGGCCTCCCAAAGTGCTGGGATTACAGGCGTGAGCCACCGCGCCCAACCAAAATTTAGTGTTTTGAAGTGGATAAAGCCCAAAGAGGATATGAAGTTAGCCAACTCTGGCATATAAGGCTAAACTTTCAGTATTGGCTATATAATTCTCTCTAAAGGGAGAGGATAACTTGTTTAAGACTTACGCAAAATTTTACCTCTGGTAAGATACACAGTATTTATTCCTAATCAAATCTTGCCGGGCCTGGGAATCAAATTACCATCCCTGAATGGCTCTTGGGTAGCTGCTGTGAAATGAGTTGGGGGGTTTTAGTGTAATTCTGCTCGGACAGATAATCATCACACAAACCTCCCACTCAGTTGTCACAATTAGCACCTCTGCTGGCCGTCTTCATTCCCAGGAGAAGCCAATCAGAAGTGGTGGCTGCAGCACACTGGCAAGGAGAGGGGCCGTGTGGGAGGTGAGAGCCTGCATGGAGCTGCTGGTGCTGTCCCATCTCTCAGGCTGGCAATGTGGCATCTCTCACTAGCACTAAATTCACTTTAGAAAAGCAGAAAAGACCTACAATGGCCAGTTCTCTAAAACCCTGTACATTAATTTTAAAAATCAATTGGAAAAAAAAATTATAATATATACATACCTGGTATATCTGGGACAATTAGTAAAAAAATCTACTAGGCAGGCCAACAGGTAGGTCTCTGAAAAATGAAGAACAGATATTCATAAGCTACAATGAAATAATTCAAACTTATTTCATTATCTCCCTTGAACAGAGACTAATGGTCACAGAAGGAAAAGCATCAGTGTAAACAAGCATAGAATGAATCTACCTGGTAGGTTGAATAGTGTGTTCAGAATATAAAATCTTTCAGTATCATCTCGCTGGATAAATTTATTTGGATACTGTTCTCTAGTTTCTGGTCTGAAAGAAAAATTTAAAAATTAACTGACTTAAAAATAACATAATAATTGGGAAGTAACATTATTAAAAGATTCATTCAATTATTTTGATGGCTATATGCAAGATAGGATTCCAAACATTAAGCATGGCCAGCTATGAAGACGAATGAGTTCAGGTTCCAGCTCTTTAATTTTTTTAAAGACAGAGTCTTGCTATTTTGCCCAGACTGGACTCAAACTCCTGGGCTGAAGCAGTACTTCCCACCTCAGCCTCCCAAGTTGCTGGGACTACAGGTGTGATGTTCAGCTTAGGTTCTGTCTCTTAATAGAATTGTCAGTGTGGTGGGGAAGTAGCTCACATACACATGTAACTGTGAGGTAAAAAAAAAAAAATCACAACTACTACAAGAGAGGTGCAAAAAGCTACGAGAAAACCAAAGAAGGGAACACCACTGAACTTAAGGGGTAGAAGCAAATGTGAGGACTAAAGAGAGGAAAATCTAGAAAAGATTCATGCACGTGCTGGCATATGAGCTGCGCCTTAAAGGCTAGATGGACCAGTTGTGAAACTAGTCCAATTTGGGTAATGAAAGGGAAGCAGAGAAAAATTAAGCTAGAAAGATGGGTTAAGGCAGATTAAGCTACTGTCCTACACCATTTTGGGGTAAGAGGGCCCTACTGACAGTTTTAAAGCAGAGGGATAATCCCATGGGAGCTGAGTTGTAAAACAAAATTAACATAGTGACTGTCTTAGAATAAATTGGAGAAAGACAATGTGATGCACTGCAACAATGGCCACAAATTCTTCCTGTCTCTGTGATGCAATTTTGTGGCTCCCCCCATTAGAACACAGTCTATTTCTCTATCCTTGCATATAGGCTTATATAGCAGCAAATGGGATCCAAACAGAAACCTAGAAAAGCATTTGTATACTGGGGCTTACTCTCCCTCACAGCACTTGAAACTCCAAGACTACTATGTGCATGAAGAGTGAGACAGTCTGCTGGAAGACAGAAGGCTACACATAGAAATGAAGTACTTCGCCAACAGCCTACCAATGCCAGAATGTGCATAAGGCCATTCTACATCAGCTGCCAGTTAACCAACAGCTAACCACAGACATGTGAAAAAGCCTAGAGATATCAGCTGTGCAACCCCAGAATCTCCCAGTTGACTCTCAGAATTTTCTTTTTTCTTTCTTTCCTGAGGCAGTCTTACTCTGTTGCCCAGGCTGGAGTGCAGTGGCGTGATCTCAGCTTACTGCAATCTCCATCTCCTGGGTTCAAGCGATTCTCCTGCCTCAGCCTCCTGAGTAGCTGGGATTACAGGCATGCACTACCATGCCCAGCTAGTTTTTTTTTTGTATTTTATTAGAGATGGAGTTTCACCATGTTGGCCCGGATAGTCTCAAACTCCTGATCTCAAATGATCCAGCTGCCTTGGCCTCTGAAAGTACTGGGATTACAGGTGTGTGCCACCAAATCCAGACACTCTCAGAATTTTGAGTTAAATAAAATGGTCACCATTTAAAGCCACTAATTTTTTTTTTTTTTAATTTTTGTGAGTACACAGTAAGTATATGTGTGTGTGTATGTATGTGTGTATAAGATACATCAGATGTTAAGGCATTAAATTATTTATTTATTTATTTGACATGTCTTGCTCTGTCACCCAGGCTGGAGTGCGGTGGCACGATCTCAGCTCACTGCAACCTCTGCTTCCCAGGTTCAAGTAATTCTCCTGCCTCAGCCTCCTGAGTAGTTGGGATTACAGGCGTGTGCCACCACACCCAGGTAATTTTTGTATTTTTAGTAGAGACGGGGTTTCACCATATTGGTCAAGGCTGGTCTCCAATTCCTGACATAGTGATTGATCCGCCCACCTCAGCCTCGCAAAGTGCTGGGATTACAGGCAGGAGCCACCACGCCTAGCCTTTATTTTTAATTTACATGTATATATACTTTGAGACAACATTTCACTCTGTCACCACTTGGCTTACTGCAGCCTCAACAGCCTGGGCTCAAAGCAATCCTTCTACCTCAGCTTCCTGAGTAGCTGTGACTACAGGCGCACACCACAGTGCCTGGCTAATTTTTAAAAATTTTTTGTAGAAATGGGGTTTCGCCATGTTGCTAAATCTGGCCTCAAACTCCCAGGCTCAAGTGATCTGCCTACCTCAGCCTTCCAAAGTGCTGGGATTACAGGAGTCAGTACCCGGCCTATTTTTTAGCAAAAGCTAATTTGATACAAAGTACTGGGATCAGTTAGGTGTTATTGCAGTAGTCCAAATGAGAACAGCAGGGCCTGTTCTAGAGTGGTGACCCAGGAAATTAAAGGGAAGAATATATTTAAGAGAGATTACCAAGGTAAAATAAAACCCAGCAAACTGAGCAGATCTGGCAGGGGGGACATTAAGAGTCATAGATGATGTTGATGCTATGGTTTCTCTGAGAGGTGGTTGGTACTATGAACAGAAATATGAAAACTAGGTAAGAAGTGATGTCACAGTAGTTCTATTTTGGCTATACTAAACTTGAAGTAAACAGATTTTTATCAGGCAACTAGAAACAAAGGTCAAGAACTTTTTTTTTGAGACCGAGTTTCACTCTTGTTACCCAGGCTGGAGTGCAATGGCACGATCTCGGCTCACCACAACCTCTGCCTCCTGGGTTCAGGCAATTCTCCTGCCTCAGCCTCCTGAGTAGCTGGGATTACAGGCGTGCGCCACCATGCCCAGCTAATTTTTTGTATTTTTAGTAGAGATGGGGTTTCACCATGTTGACCAGGATGGTCTCGATCTCTTGACCTCGTGATCTGCCCGCCTCGGCCTCCCAAAGTGCTGGGATTACAGGTTTGAGCCACCACACCCGGCCGGTCAAGAACTTAAAACAGAGATTCAGACTTGAGAGATAACTGAGATCATCTGTGTACAGATACTCGATGGAATCATGAAAAGTATGAGGAGATGAAGTCACTTAATGTGCAAGGAAGGAAGAGAAGAGACAGAACAGAACCATGAAGAAAATTCAGGATTTAAAAGAAAAAAAGCTGGTGAAACAGAATTTGTTAAAGATCCAGAAACACTTCTAAAAGAAAACATTTCAGAGAAACTAAAAGGGAAAAATACTGAAATATAAAAATATACAATTATGACAGTGAATACATGGAGATTAACAATCTAAATAAAGGAAATCAAATTTAAAGTTCACACTCAGAGTAACCTGGATAAATTCCTGCTTGGGTTTGTTAACTACAAATGGCAAAAACTCCAGTGAGACATATAAAATCACATTAGCTCCCTGTCTTAATCACTCTTCTGAAATGAGAGTTCCCAATAATGAATAACTTTGTAGAGTACCTCATCATCTAGCTTTCCAAGATTTTTTTTAATGAAAAGTAAGGTGGAAGGTAACAATAAAAATATACTTTTTCAGTCAGGTTTAATAAGCTGGCACTATCTCCTTAGATATAATATACTTGCCTATTCCCTCCATCAGTAAAGAAAAATTTCTTTACATAAAGATAGCTAACATTTATTAGGCAGTTAGAACCCAAATTGATTTATAAATATAGTTAGCAATTACACTGTAAACTCAGTGTCAAATCACACTAGTATATATTTAAAATAAAAATCAACGTGGGGGAGGTAATGTATCATAAAAGAAGAAAGCTACACTTGGACTGGGAAGAAAACAGTTATCACACAGATTACTTTCTATGACCCACAGAATAAAGAAGTGTTATTAAGGTCCTAACTCATTAGCAAAGCCTGATGGAGCCCTTCTTTTCCAGCCTTGTCTACCACTGTAATAGCTTTGATAACTATTTCTTCCTTTCTCTCCATCTTCAGTCTCTTTTCATAGGCATTTTAATTTTATTAATTTATTTTTATTTTTTTGAGACAGGGTCTTGCTCTGTTGCCCAGGCTGTAGTACAGTGGTGTGAACACAGCTCACTGCAGCCTCAACCTCCTGGGTTCAAGCAATCCTCCTGCCTCAATCTCCCATGTACCTGGGACCATACATAGGCATGCACCACCATGCCCAGCTAATTTTTGATATTTGTAGAGATGGGGTTTCACTTTACTGCTGGTCTTGAACTCTTAGGCTCAAGCAGTCTTCTTGCCTTGCCCTCCCAAAGTGCTGAGATTACAGGCATGAGCCACTGTGCTAGGCCAACTTTTCTTTTTAACTCTAAAGACTGAACAGTGCTAAGTGCTGTTTAGATAATTCTGCATTTACTCATAAATGACTTATTTTTGAAACACTATTAAATGCATTCGGGAAAGGAGCTATGTAGAAACTTTACTGGCTTATTTAGGGTAAGAGAGGAAGTCTGTGGATCTTGAGTTAGTAAATGTGATCATAGTACTAATTTATCAAACTGCTTCTCTTTTCTTCTCTGCCTACCCCTCCCTCAAAATGCAAAAATTCCTTTTTAGACCTAATAGAACCCTGGTTCATCTTGAGATTCTGAATTATGATGACAATATCAGTGTATAAAATAGCTTAAATTACTAATACAACCTATAATCACTTCATATTCTGAATCCTGTTTCCCGATATTCACGGATCCTGAACAAACCCCTCATGAAAGAAACAGTGAAGGAAAGGTAGATGTAACAATGGCCTGCCCAGATGTGTCAAGATGGGTGTTTACTTCACACTATTCTTACTATGTATACATGGAGATCTCTGTGCCTGTGTATTGTCAGTAATGCCAAATGAAGAGTCTTATATCAAATGCTTCATTTCTAAGCAGCATCTTGAGACCTCAAATCCAAAGGGAGCTCTGGTACAATTTCAGCCAGTTTATGTGCCTCTTATCACAAAAAAAGACACTTATTTTTAAACATTTCAATGTAGCCTCGTGTTTTTCCTATCCTGCCATCAAGAATGAATAGTAAATGGAAAAGTTACATGAGGGACTGACACACATCCTATTCTGTTTAGGAGCTGTTGTTCTGACCCTAAGACAATGTCAATAGTAAATAAGGTAGCATAACAGTAGAGAAAATGTTTAACTGTAAAGCTACAGTTACAGAAGTTATCAAATTGTGGCATTATGATTTTTAGAGAAAATATTGGGACCTTTCACATACACAAAAAAGTAGATACTAAATTTCATCTGCTGTTTACTAGGGTGAAAAGTTCAAATTAGTGACAATAGTGGAAACATTTTTATTTTGAAAATAAGCTTATCCTTATTTTTTTATTTTTATTATTTTTGAGACAGAGTTTCGCTCTTGTTGCCCAGGCTGTAGTGCAATGGTGCAATCTCAGCTTACCACAACCTCCGCTTCCCAGGTTCAAGTGATTCTCCTGCCTCAGCCTCCTGAGTAGCTGGGATTACAGGCATACGCCACCACGCCCGGCTAATTTTGTTATTTTTTTAGAGATGAGGTTTCTCCATGTTGGCCAGGCTGGTCTCAAACTCCTGACCTCAGGTGATCCACCCACCTCGGCCTCCCAAAGTGCTGGGATTACAGGCGTCAGCCACCACGCCCAGCCTCCTTGTTTTAAATATTATTACCACATATTCATTTTAACCTTATGTTTAAAATGTTTTTAATGACACAATCAAATGTCTGGAGATGTTCATTAGAATCTAAAAAATAATGTATTAGCTATTTAAAAATCTCTTAATCATTTAAATTGCTGTAGTTTAAAATTTTTCAAAGCATTTTTATATACATACCTCTTCTGAACAGCTACCTGAGAACTGTATTAGAAAGAAGAAAATAAAAATCTTAGAATTTCAAAGAAGTCAAAACTACTAAAGTTCTTATGGGTAAATTTCAAGATTAGGTTTTTTGTTTTTGTTTTTGTTTTTGAGACAGTCTCGCTCTGTCGCCCAGACTGGAGTGCAGTGGCATCATCTCTGTTCACTACAACCTCTGCCTCCCAGGTTCAAGCAATTCTCCTGCCTCATCCTCCCAAGTATCTGGGACTACAGGCGTGAACCACCACGCCTGGCTAATTTTTGTATTTTTAGTAGAGACAGGGTTTCACCATATTGGCCAGGCTGGCCTTGAGCTCCTGAGCTTGTGATCCACCCGCCTCAGCCTCCCAAAGTGCTGGGATTACAGGCATGAGCCACCATGCCTGGCCAAGGTTAGTCTTATTGTACGCTGTATAATTGGAAGGCACTTAATTTAAACAAAATGTAATTGCTAACTATATGTCAGTTTGGGTTCTGACTGCCTAATAAATGTTAACTAATCTTATGTAAGGGAATTTGCTCTTTATGACGAAAAGGAATAGGGAAATATATCTGGGGAGACAATGTCATCTTCATACTGTTTGACTACAACATTATAAAGAGGCTAAAGGTTCTTTGTACTCACCCCCTTATAAAGTTAAATCCATGTGCACAGACCAAGAGGTTTCCATAGGCATCGACTTTCAAAAGATTTCCATATAGTGTGTCAAAGACAAGTCCCCTATGTGAAAATGAAGAACACTGTTGATAATGCAAAGTAATACAGGCAATAATTTTATGTAGTACTATTAAATCATCATGAACCAACCTCATCTAATTCAAACTTTGTAGCAACCCAAATATGTCCAAAAACGATATAACTTCCGGGGCTAAAGTAAGTAAAGTCTTAAAAACTAATTCTAAAGCAACTAAAAAATATTGACTCTGTCCAGACAGATATCTTAATTGTTTTCTGTAAGAAGTAAGAGCTTAATCAAACAAGGTATAAACAAAATTCCTCTTCCTAAAGCTGGTACCACTCTAAAACATAGGCTTTTTTCTTGGACAACTGAGAAGGCTTATATTTTCCTCCATTAGATGTTGTATGTGGGACACATACAACAGCATCTCAAATAAACATCATTTTCTTAATCCTAAATATTCTCTATCAAATCCAGAAATGCAAACTGCCAAGCTTCTATCATGTTAAGTGTATTACAAAAACAAGTACCTGTTTGCCAACAGCCCCAAATAGGAACACCTGTGATTACTGCCCATCAGTTTTTGTAATCCTCCTTTTTACCCATAAGTGGGTCTTCCTCAGTTGCAATAAACTGAGCTTATTTCAGGAACACCCAGATATGGTGTATAAACTGAGTTTAATTCAGGAACACAAAGATATGGTGTATATGAAAAGTTCATGGTAATTTTACAATCAACACCAACCAACCAAAAAAAACAACAAAGAATTATTCAATGTTTTTCAGGGGTTTGTTGTTGTTGTTTAAGGATGAATTTGGAATGTCTAATTTGGAGGGTAAGGGAAGTAGTCTTAATCCAAAAATATCTTGAAAAATTACCTGGTAGGGAATGTAGAATCATAAGCAAAGCTGAGCAACTCCTGGGGATAGCCAATAGAAACTAATCTCTCCACAGTAAGCTCAAAACCAAGGGACTCATACTCCGGGGACTTGTACACTGCACAAAGAGGAGGTTTTCATTAGTTAGCAGAAAGAACAGCCAATTAAAACAGAATGCTAATGAATGAATTTCTGCTCTTTCCCAATTCTTCCTCCCTTCTAATTCTGCCATTTTTCTTCTTCCCCCTCACACTCCACGTTCTGTACTGCCCCAAGTAATTAGAGAACTCAATTGTTAGTCTGTGGAAATAGGTCAGATTACATAGCAGGAGCCTAACAACAAGCTGAATTATCAAACCATTCAGTATAGTTCCTTCATTCTCAGGAAACCTATTCCAAACATTTTTTCCCTTTATTCTTTCATTTCCACAATTTTAAAAAAAATGAATATGCATAGCTGTGATATTAATAGTGAGAATAAAAGTACATAGAAAACTAGGTAAGGGAGGTCTATATATGTTGAAGGCTTTGCTGTTGTGCATAATTGGTACAGAAATCCTTCAAAATGAACTTTTAAAATAATCTATTTTTGGAATTCCTTTCTGGCTTGGTAGTTGCTTTATATGCCTTCTCCAATCAATATGATTAACTGTTTTCTGTATCGGATCTAACAATGTATGCCATCAAAACTGTATTTTCCAAGCTATTACTATAAACCAACCATAAAAAGACGTTTGCAACAATTAGGGAAATCTATGAACTGGGAATTAGACACTGAAGAACTGGTCAGGCGTTGTGGCTCATGCCTGTAATCCCAGCACTTTTGGAAGCTGAGGCGGGCAGATCACTTGAAGTGAGGAGTTCAAGACCAGCCTGGCCAACATGGTGAAACACTGTCTCTATTAAAATACAAAAAATTAGCTGGGAGTGGTGGCATGCACCAGTTTTCCTAGCTACCCAGGAGGCTGAGGTGGGAGAATTGCTTGAACTCAAGGCATGGAGGTTACAGTGAGCTGAGATCACACCAGTGCACTCCAGCCTGGGTAACGGAGCGAGACTCTGTCTCAAAAAAAAAAAAAAAAAAAAAAAAAAAGAAAAGAAAGATATTGAAGAATTATCATTCATTTTATTAGAAGTATGGCAGGATGGGTATATGCAAATGTGTATAAAACAAAATCTCTCCTTATCCGCCAAAGGAGCGCTGAGTTTGTTACAGGTCAAAGAACGGGAATTTCAGGCAATGGGGGGGTTCTGTCTAATACTGTATATGTCTGAAATTTTCCATAACGAAAAAACTCTTTAGAGTTATTACTGAAATTCAAGCATAAAGAAAATATTGCTCCTTTAAATAAGTTTCCTCCAAATGAAATATTTAGGTAAGACTCCATCAGTCTCCAGAAGTGAGTAAGCCATATTAAAAATAATAACTAGCCAGGCGTGGTGGCTCAAGCCTGTAATCCCAGCACTTTGGGAGGCCGAGGCGGGTGGATCACGAGGTCGAGAGATCGAGACCATCCTGGTCAACATGGTGAAACCCTGTCTCCACTAAAAATACAAAAATTAGCTGGGCATGGTGGCGTGTGTCTGTAATCCCAGCTACTCGGGAGGCTGAGGCAGGAGAATTGCCTGAACCCAGGAGGCGGAGGTTGCGGTGAGCCGAGATCGCACCATTGCACTCCAGCCTGGGTAACAAGAGTGAAACTCCGTCTCAAAAAATAATAATAATAATAAAATAAAAAAATAACTAAAAAGACCTGCCAGCTTGCTAAATAGCAAATGAAGCAAAAATATCCATCCTATTCTTGTAATCTCATAATGGCAACTATTTTTATATTATGATAGTTCTTCCATCTACTATTAACATCTTTAGCTTATGGCTCAAACAGATTTCTCATTGCAGTTAGTATACCTATCCAAAGTTGGTGCTAATATTTTAATGAGTGCGATTCAATTTTCCCTTTCCAAAAACAATCCTGTACAATAGTTCTGAAAATAAAGAACAGTAATACTAGTTGCCTCCTAGGAAGGGAACAGAGTGGCCTTTAAGAGACAGGGAAGGAGACTGTCATGTACCTCCTGTACCTTTAAAACTTATATTATGTATATCTATTTTTTAAATTGCAAGCTGGGCTTTCAAAATCCTTTAATAAATATTTGTCAGATTTTAAAACCAGAAGCCTAAAATTTTTAAGGTCTTTTAAGAAAGACTTGAGTTTCATCTCATCAGAACAATGCCAAAAAAGCCATCTTTATTTCTTTTTTTATTGCAAGCGTATTAATAACTTAATGCTAATGCTAACCCTGGCTAACATTTTCTTTTTTTTTTTTTTTCCCGAGTTGGAGTCTCGCTCTGCTGCCAGGGCTGGAGTGCAGTGGCCATGATCTCAACTCACTGCAACCTCTGCCTACCGGATCCAAGCGATTCTCGTGACTCAGCCTCCCAAGTAGCTGGGATTACAGGTGCCCGCCACCACACCCAGCTAATTTTTGTATTTTTAGTTGAGATGGTAGTTTCACCATGTTGGCCAGGCTGGTCTCAAACTCCTGACCTCAAGTGATCTGACCACCTCAGCCTCCCAAACTGCTGGGGATTACAGGCTGAGCCACCACACCCAGCCATGGCTAACGTTTTCAAAACTGGCTATATTACCTTCTTTCCCTTAACTCCTGCTTCATCCTCTCTACTCCCCCTAAAAAAAAACTTGAAGACTTAAGTGTGGAATTCCTAAATCTATATGATGTACACTGTGGTTTAAAAAATAAAGTGCTATATACACTAATAAAGAGCTGGTGTACCATAAAACCATAAGGCATGGCACCTACTGTTGTAAATTTGAGTTATGTTAAAAGTATAACCACTCTCACCTTACCCTCCTCAATGTCCTACGTTCTTACTCCAGTTGCAAGTAAATCTCATTTTAATACAATCTCCATAAAACAAAAATTATTTCTCAATCCTAACCAAGGCCCCATTTATTTCAAACAGTATCTAATGAAATAAGATTCCAGTATAGCTAAGTAATTTGGGTAATCTACTGACATCTATTCTTATAGGATTTGGTCCATATAAAATGTTTTCAATTGTTAATTTTTCAGAAGGACAATCTGCTGGATATGTCTTAAAGTGGGAGACAAAATACAAATCTTAATTACTCTTAACACATTCACTCCTAAATCAGCTATTTTCTCCAGTTAGACAATCAGGTAACTACAGAGCAATGGAGTAACTAGTGAGTAAAACCTATGTCTATCAGACAATCTGGATTTGAAGCTCAAATTAATTTATTCAGAATTTTCAGTGAAAAACAATACAGAGAAGAAAAAGTCTCAAATTTCCATTTTGACAGCACAAATCCTAGAATAGCAGAAAAACACTACACTTGCCACATTATACTTTTTCGCAGGGCAGAATTTCCCAAGTGTTCAACTGAAGTGACTTTCTAGAAATTCCACCTACAGAAATACTTCCTTTTTCTCATGAACTCAAGAGTACTTCTTAAAAATATGATGTAGCTTCCTCATTTGCCAACATGAAGTTCTGTAGCAAGTACAAATATCAGCTGAAGCCAAAATTTAGGTCTGAGTCTCATCCAAAAGCTGTTTGTAAGGCTGGGCGTGGTGGCTCACACCTTTAATCCCAGCACTTTGGTAGTGCTAGGTGGATCAGTTGAGGTCATGAGTTTGAGACCACCCCGGCCAATATGGCAAAACCCCATCTCTACTCAAAAATAACAATAATTAGCCAGGCAGGAGTGGTAGCTAGTGCCTGTAGTCTCAGCTAACTGGGAGGCTGAGGCAGGAGAAATGCTTGAACCCAGGAGGTGGAGAATACAGTGACCCAAGACTCCACCACTGGGTGACAGCCAGGATGACAGAGTGAGACTCCATCTCAAAAAACAAACAAAAGCTCTTTGTGGCAGAGTATATACACTACCACTGCAAAAAATAAATTTCTAGAATACATAAGCCATCAGAACTTAAGCTTGGGTGTTGAAACATACAGCTCTCCCTCCAATTTTTTTTTCAACTAGTCCAAAATAAACTTCTGTACTCACAAGTGGGAATGAGTTTGGTAAAGGCAGTCCAAGTTCTACCCTGACAACACTATCTATTTCATCAAGCTCTATATTAATCAGTAAGACCTACAAGCTATTGACATTTTCTCATAAGCTTCCTGGATAATCATTTCAGCAACATGAACTCCCAGGTCATTAAATTATCTGCTAGATAGTACAACCAAGGTTAGAGAAGCAGAACTGCAGCTGCACAGAGCATGAATGTAGATGTTTTATTCTAAGTGTCCCTAAATGCATTTGTTGTGAGCTGGTGGCAAAAATTCCTAAATCTTAGTAAGTACCACCATGCCTTTAAAAATAAAAATAAAATATAAAAAGTAAATTCCCTTTTTAATCAACCAGGCCCTTCAAAGCCAGCCTCAGATATTTATGGAAAACCAAAACCATATATATCACCTCAGACTTAGAGCTTTATGCCTCTCCACAGCTGCAAAGGCTCTGATTTCAATTTCTCTCCCACAACTGTGGCAAGTAAATGATGCACAGCTTCAAGCTCAACTCTCACAAATGACTTTCTGTGGTTCCAAAACCCAAGCAATAGTTTCACATTATCTGCTTATTTCTTCTCCCAGAAGGTACTCTGGCCTACCCCAAGTTACTCAATATCCAAAGACAAAGAAGCAGCTATTTTAAGGGCTAGAGTCCAAAAAAGAGGACTGCTTCAGCCACTAGGACAGCACACGGTGTTCTCAGGTTACATAATTTGACTATAAAGAAAACAACCAAAGCTTTGAAAGTTCAAGTTATTGAGAGCATTTAAAGATATTCTTAGGCCAGGTGCGGTGGCTCACGCCTGTAATCCCAGCACTTTGGAAGGCCGAGGTGGACAGATCACTAGGTCAAGAGATCAAGACCATCCTGGCCAACATGGTGAAACTCTATCTCTACTAAAAATACAAAAATTAGCTGGGCGTGGTGGCACGCGCCTGTGGTCCCAGCTACTTGGAGGCTGAGGCGGAAGAATCGCTTGAACCCAGGAGGTGGAGGTTGCAGTGAGCCGAGACTGTGTCACTGCACTCCAGCCTGGCAACAGAGCAAGACTCCGTCTCAAAAAAAGAAAGAAAGAAAAGAAAAAAGATACTCTTTACTCCATAATCTGCGAGGAAAAAATAGTTCTTCAAAAATAACTATGTTTTTGGGATGAAAGTTATGGGCTCTGTTTTGAGTAAATGCTGTTCATATAAGACAGAATATATGTTAAAGGACAAAGTCCCTTTGGAATGAGCAGAAAACTTTCTGCAGGAAGTTTGGAACTCTCATGCACTTTTTACCACTGCCACCAAGACACACTATGTAATACTTTATAGATATAGAAAAATAAAGGGCAAACCTCTACAGAGGTTCCAACCTAGCAGAATGCTGCTGCCAAAATGAGAACTCACATGAGGCAGATGCAGATGCAGTGTGTGTCACTCCAGTCTTGAAGGAGTTACACTGGCTCTCCTGTTAAAAAAACAAAACAAAGCAACGAAAGAAAACAAAAACAAAAACAAAAGCTGGTTTTAAAACTGTTGTGATGGGCTGGAACAGAGAGATACCATTTGGAAATTGGTATTTACAGGGGTTACTACTGCCCTCCAATTTAGAAGCCTGACTATCACTAAAATTAGCCTAATTGGCCATAACAGAACAAGGGTATTGAAGTTAACAAGGGTATTGAAGTTAAGTCTAAGTTTTATTGTGTATTATTTACTTTTCTGGCACCCTGAGTCTGGAATACAAGCCAAGTCTGATCCTAAAATGTTAAGTCGAAAGACAAACAGAAATAAGTCTTAGTTTTCTTTAGCACATTTCAAGCTAACATGATAGAAACTGAATGCAGCTGGCAAACAGTGTTTAAACTTGAACTGTGGGTAGTGAAATAGACTGAATAAGGATACAAAAACAAGCAGAGCAGCTTCATCTTGCTTCCAAGTACCCACTTTAACTAAGTCTACCTATACCTAACTACTAGATTAGTCATTATCAAGATTCTAGTTATCATTATCAAGATGACTAGAATCAACTGCACGCTACTAAAAATCTAACCAGGTATCTAAATTTGGAAGGGAAGGAAATTTTTAAATTTTGATTCTGTCAGTGGAAATCTGCCCTTTGTAAGCCAGTATAGTAATCTACAAAGGTTTTTTTGTTTTGTTTTGTTTTGAGACGAAGTTTCACTCTTGTTGCCCAGGCTGGAGTGCAGTGGTGCGATCTTGGCTCACCACAACCTCCACCTCCCAGGTTCAAGCGATTCTCCTGCCTCAGCCTCCCAAGTAGCTGGGATTACAGGCATGCACCACCATGACCGGCTAATTTTGTATTTTTAGCAGAGATGGGATTTCTCCGTATTTGTCAGGCTGGTCTTGAACTCCCAACCTCAGGTGATCTGCCCACCTTGGCCTCCCAAAGAGCTGGGACTACAGGCATGAGCCACTGCGCCCAACAGTATTCTATAAAGTTAAAAGAAACTACCTAGCTTAGTAAAATAACTAAGTTGAAGATACATAATCCATTAAATATACTGACACTTTAAAGATATGCATTATGTTTAACTTTATAGGGAGTCATTTTCCCTAGAGGTATTCAGGTTTTTGAAGACACGTCACTGGGTTCCTCTAACTCTTGGATTTTTGGGGTACTCAACCAAAGAGCAGAAATTACCAGATGTAATGTCTAAAAGCATTACAGCACTACAGCAGTCACAATGAAAACCAAAAATGCAATCCAACCACCCAAGAATAATTATTTGTTTTTATGTTGTAAGTATGATCAACATCAACATGCTCATCTATTTAGTTGTAGGCTATGCGATGTTGGTTCTCTAGCCCTCTGACTAGAAAAGATGATAATGCACATTTTTCACTAAGAACATTTTAAATAGGATCTTTCCAATTCTCATATAAACAAATGCCAGAGAACTTTTTTCCATTTTCCAAAACTATATGAAAATCCTAACACATTAAATAGAGCTGGGCCAAAATTCTATCTCTAACCTAAGAGATGACAAATGACCTAAAAAAGATATTTTCATATCTTTCTAGATTTTCAAAGCAAATTTCATAAAATGATCTCAATTTTAATTTACTTAAAAGAAAAAAGCTAAATATCATGGCAATACTTTTAGTAATATAAAGTAAAACACACTCCCAAATGACAAGATGTGTAAATTAGTAAAGTAAGTGGAGTTTGAGACTGCCAATTTCAGTTTACTGCAAGCAAATACAAAATTAAATGGTAATTATTTGTTTAAAAAATATTAAGAATAGGCCGGGCGCGGTGGCTCAAGCCTGTAATCCCAGCACTTTGGGAGGCCGAGGCGGGCAGATCACGAGGTCAAGAGATCGAGACCATCCTGGTCAACATGGTGAAACCCCGTCTCTACTAAAAATACAAAAAATTAGCTGGGCATGGTGGTGCGTGCCTGTAATCCCAGCTACTCAGGAGGCTGAGGCAGGAGAATTGCCTGAACCCAGGAGGCGGAGGTTGCGGTGAGCCAAGATCGCGCCATTGCACTCCAGCCTGGGTAACAAGAGCGAAACTCCGTCTCAAAAAAAAAAAAAAAAAAAAAAAATTAAGAATATTGGAATATTTTTAAATGAAAAAAATTACCTAATTCAAAAATATTCCATCTGACAATCTGTATACTTATAAAGATCTTGTATTTTCTGTACTGTTTTCAATTTAAGACAGAAAAACTGAAAATTATTGAGATAACTTTTAAAAATAGTCTTTAACCGAAGGAGCTGCTTGTAATACAAAAACAGAAGTAGCTAATATATATATATATATTTTTTTTTCAAAAAATAAAAACAGATCACAGCACTCAAATATCTGTACTAAAGTTAGAGGAATTTAACAAACATTTGGATACCTACTGTGTACCAGGTACTAGAAGCTGAGAACAAAAAACAAAATAATGTATGATCCTGGGCCTGGAAGGAGCTCATAGTTCCTGATATACTACAGGGATATACAGTTAGATATTTGTAAGTTTTAGAAGATCAATAACACAGGGTGTTATTGATAAGTATAGAGGGACAAAATGGGGGTCAATAAATCCAGCCCAGGAAGTCTTCTTAAAAACTATGCATGATTGGCCAGGCACAGTGGCTCGTGCCTGTCATCCCAGCACTTTGGGAGGCCGAGGCGCGCAGATCACGAGGTCAGGAGATCGAGACCATCCTGGTCGATATGGTGAAACCCCATCTCTACTAAAAACACAAAAAAAATTAGTCGGACATGGTGGCACGCACCTATAGTCCCAGCTACTCAGGAGGCTGAGGCAGGGGAATTGCCTGAACCCAGGCAACAGAGGCTGCCATGAGCAGAGATCATACCACTGCACTACAGCCTGGGCGATGAAGCAAGACTCCCTCTCAAACAAAAACAAAAACAAAAACATGCATGATTTATGTACAATTTATTCAGATGTATACCAATAACTCATATTTATAACCAATTTCTCAAGGTACCATAAAGTTTACCTCGCAACTCTGAAATTCAGATTCAGCTAATACGTTACAAACATCTATGTCAAGATTAAGCAAATGAATTAATGTGTGGAGTGGGATACGTTAGGGTGTACATCTTGTCTAGAGGAAGAAGTAGCTACTCAAGTGCAGTTGACTTCCCTGTGGGAGTGGGAGCCAAATGCTGTCAACTGTGTGATAACAGCCAACCTAGACTTTTACCTGTAATCTCTCAATGTTATAATACTGACCCAATTAAACAAACAAATTCTTTCAGCCAAACTATGGTCTGTGGTCTGAGTTGGGTCCATGGGACAACAGTGTGCTCCTCTAGCCTATACTTTAGGTCATACACTTCCACATACATTATCTATCCCATTTAATTGAAATGTTTCACTATCTTCTTCAAAGAGTCTTAAAGAATTGAATTTACATATTTAATGAGTTGGAAATCTAGATGGAAATAAATTCATTCTTTAATAACAAAGTATTCTGAACAATGTTGTCAGTCTATTCATCCCAAGGAAAAAACTGAGGAAGTAAATTAAAAATAGAAAACCTCTATGTGGTCACTTGATGTGGACCCCTAAGATCGTCTGATTTTTTCACTTGATTATCAAAACCTAACATATGTTCCCAATGACAGAACTGCAACGTCCTCATGATCTGCTCAGATAACCAACTACAGTATTAGTGTCTTATTCATAAGGTTTAATCTAAACCTTTGCTACACAACTTGATTCTATTACCACTTACGCTTTCCTCACTGGCCAATATCTGCATGATAAAACATCCAGAGAACGTGTAAGCAGAAAGGAGATAATGAATCAAAGGTAGCTATTATGTTAGAACTATGTTGAAAACAAGTTTAGTCATGTTGAAAATAGCCTTTAGCCGGGCACAGTGGCTCACGCCTGTAACCCCAGCACTTTAGGAGACTGAGGCAGGCTCTGGATCGCCTGGGCTCAGGAGTTTGAGACCAACCTGGGCAACACCGTGAAACCCCATCTCTACTAAAACAAAAAATCAGCTGGGCATGGTGGTGCATGTCTGTAGTTCCAGCTACTCAGGAAGCTGAGCCAGGAGAATTTCCTGAACCTGGGAGGCTGAGGTTGCAGTGAGTCAAGATTGTGCCACTGCACTCCAGCCTGGGTGACAGAGCAAGACTCTGTCTCCAAAGAGAAAAAAAAAAGAAAGAAGAAAAAAGAAAATACCCTGGGGATCTGGGAGTGAAAAATTCATCTTAGCAACTTTACTGATGCAACTAATATTATTACATGACATTTACTCACACACACAAAATCTGGCTTACATTTGAATGTTTTTATAATTGTCAATGGAAAGTAAAGATCATAAACACTGGTAATTGATTCTTTATATCATTTACCATGTAATGGAGATGAAATGGGTTTTACTAAGCAATCTTTTAAAATTCCTAATCTAGAAACAAACCACGTATTATCGCAATTCAGAGCGATTAATTTAATATTAGTGAAAAAGTTTAAATGGGATACAGAGTTGACATAAAGGGAATCAAAGCTTGGAAACTAAGTGTAGACTCATATTAAAAAGTTCCTAAAAAGTAATATAATATACACCTAAAATATGCCATGTATTTTATATGTAATATATGTCTAAAAATAATAGTATTGAGGGTGTTTATCTCAACGAATACAAAGGACTTTCATCTACAGGTAAGATAATGCATTGGAGTGTTATTTCTTTTATTTCCTAACATGGAGGGACCACCTCAAAAGCAACACCTGACTGTAGAAATAGTACTTCATTTCCTGAGGAAGGTAGTATAAAAAATTCTGAAGTTGAAAAAAAAAAAAAAAAAAAGAATAGCAGCTAAAATAACAAGGACTATGATATCTCAAATGAAAATGAATGAAAAGACTAAAGGACCTTACCATTTAAATGCTCTTTAAAAAAAAAAAAAACAACACTTTATTGGTATTTTTTTAGTTTCTGCCACCTGATTTTTAAATT